GTATATATGTATATATATGTATATATTATATATATATTTCTTAGCACACACTTGTCATCTTTTCTTTTCCTCTCGAGGGTTGAGGTTGTCTTGTTAAAAAAAACAGTCCCTTCTGATAAATCAGATAAATGGACACCTCCCAAACCCACCTCTACCCCCACTCTAAGCAGGGGTATTTATAATTTTATCTTTGTAAAATAAAACAGACAGGTACACAGCTTTCTGGATTTCTAAATTGAATTAATAATTATGAAATAATACTCAAGTTCTAGAATTGTGCTGCTCGAGGTGGATACATGTTGGATAGCTCTGTTACACATTCTTTATGAGTTATTGCTTTTGAAAAAAATTATTTCCCATTTTTTCTGGATGTAAATCACTTTTTTAGATGATTATTTACTCTGGTATCAGATGCTGTGCAGCTGGGAGAATTTTTACTGAAATCATTTTACTTTTGGGCATTTGTTATGATGCGTAACCATGGCAACAATGTGTTTTTTTTTTTTTAACAACCAGGAGCAGCTGATTAACATCTCAAAATCCCAAATATGTCAACTACAGCTCCAAATCCAAAATGAGTTGAAAAGGAGGCACCGTGGATGAATTCCTGTCAACCTGGCAGCAGTGCTCGTGTACCTGACCACCGAGATCTAGGAGCTGCTGGAAAACTTGGCACATGACAATGGGAAGACCGGGATCATCCCCCGGCACCTTCAGCTGTCTGTCTGTGGTGACGAGGAGTTCGGCAGACTGCTGGGAGGAGTGACCATTGCTCAGGAAAGAATTCTGCCCAGCATTCAGGCAATCCTGCTGCCCAGGAGGACTGAGAGTCCCAACGGATCTGACAGCAAGCTGGATCTGGGTGGATGGATCTGTGGCCAGATTCTTCGGCTTCGCTGCAGGAGATCCTTCCTGCCTACAACTATCAGCATCTAGCAACTCTTGAATGAAACCAAAATGATGAGCTACGACAACACTTAATTTCCCTCTGATATTAATAAAGTATTTTTGAATTGAATTGAAGATTATCACAGTTAAATGGGAGAAAATTGTTCAGTGATGTGATTTAAAATGTAAAAGTGAATACATTATGACAAAATATATGATCACAGATTCAAATAAATGTTCCAAGCAGGGATCAAACCCATAGACTTCTGATAACAAGACCACTGATTATTGACCTATCACAGTGACCACAAAACTGGTTAAATAAGATTCTACCATGTTGGAGAAAATGCCCTGGTTTTTGTTCTCTCCTCCTAATTTTTTTTGTTCTGGTCCTCTCCGTCTGCTCCTAATATATTTAAACAGAATATCTCCACTGTTGGACTCAGCAGGTTTCATTGCAGCTATTCCTGCATTTGAGCTGACGTCAGCTCTACTGTTAGTGGTCGTATCAATGCACTAAAACCAGCTGAATGTGTCAACAGTGCAGAAAATCTAATGTAACAAATGAGGCTCTATTAGAGCTGGCTGTTATTAGAGCTGTTCAGCTGACTGGTGACAAGTTTGGATCTGCTTGATGAACACAGGTCAGGGAACGGTAATGCCCCATAACAGTATATTAAAAAAAATGAGGAAGAATCACTAAAAATATTTTCAATTCCATTAAAATTTGTCAAAATAGTTGAAAAATTCACAGAACAAAATGATACACAGCAAGCTCAGTAAATAAGTAATTTACATGATTTATTAAGAGGAACTACTTTGTGGGGCTAATTAATATTGTAGGAGGGGGTGCCTGGGTGCTCCCCCGCTGCCACTGACTCCTTTTACAAAATAATTAACTGTTGTCTTTTCATGACAACATTGTTCATTAACATTGTTGTAGAGAGTTTTAAAAGAAAAAGGAAAATAATCAAATGTTTGTGGCGAATGAGTAATTTCCACTTGATGATTCTGATCCATGTGTCAAAAGGTTCAGACACCATTCATCTAAATACATGGTAGTTTTATATATTAGTCTAAAGATTTGCTAACACCTTCAGATATCAATTTACAAGTTTCAAATATATTTTTCAGAATCATTAACAAGGATTAGTAAACATCCCAGAACACAGAACTAACAGGACATTGAAGAACTAACAGGACATTGATTTTTATTCAACGTGTTACAAACGATGATCAGTTTAAGACATTGAAGAAATCAACTTTGCAAAGAATTGTGAGCAAAAGCTGTCAAAAGTGATCCACATGAAGATAAATAATGACAATTAATCAAACACACTGTACTATTTACACAATGTGCAATAATTCATAAAATCCAGTCATGTTATGTAAAATGTTCCTAAATGATGGCTGTTGTTCGTTCTGTCATTCTTTTCCACACGACAATCACACCTACAATTACCGTAACACTAAAGAAGATTCTCACAAACTTTTTTCTTGTAAATTTCTTCAAACACTCAAAGATGTTGGCGACTGCTTGCTGTCTCTGCCACTCTTTCAGCATATTCATGGTGTAGCAGTCACCTGGGCGTTGGGTCACCATCAGCTGAATTGTGTTGATCAGCTGTTTCACCTGGAACTGGTTGCTTCTGTATTCATCCTGCTGGTTGCTCTTCCAGTGTCTGTTATCGACAACGTGGCACCGTCCACCGCACTTCTTCAGCACATCTTTCAGATGGTTATTTTTACTGACAAACTCCTCGATTTTCATTTGCTCTAACTGGTCGCCATATGTGAAAACAACTACAGAATAATTGAAGACATCTGGAGAAAAATATTCTTCTATTTTCTTGATGATCTGTGACTCCTGCGCTGTGAATTTTTCCACTTTGAGCACAATAAGAAAAACATGGGGCCCAGGAGTGTTCTCAGAGACACACCTCACTACCTCATCCTTCAGCTGCTGCTCAGACCATCTTGGATGGAAGAAACCAGGAGTGTCAGTCAGAGTCAGCCTCCTTTTCTCAAAATATCTAGTCGCTGTCTGACAGCAAGTGGCTTCTATCTTGGTAGAACATTGGACTTTGAAATCCTCCTTTCCAATTATGGTATTTGCCAGGCTGCTCTTCCCAGATCCAGTCTTGCCCAGCAGAACAATCCTCAATGTGTTTGGCACTAGAAGAAAAACAAACAAACAAACAAACTCATAATCAGTCATTTTTAATTCATGCTACAAAAAAATGATGTAAATATATTGAAACAGTTTCCAGGGGTTGAGATTGAAGTAACCTTTTTAGGCCAAGGTAGAATGTGTTTTTGTGCCACACAAGGATATAATGTGCATGTAAGGTCTTATTAGCATCAAATATGGAAGAGAAGTTTCAACTGGAGTTAGAAATAAGACATGTTATCCATGAGGCTACATAGACAGGAATAACAGACTCCATGAAGTCTGGCCTGGGCCTTGGGTTTCATTTAGGCTGAACGTTCTCCCTGATAAGAACGCTCTGGACCAAGTGAGATAACTATCTGTACTGATGCAAAAGAAAATGTATAAAGGATCTGTGTGAGTCTGTAGGAGTCCAGCTTATTGGGTCCTGACACTGTTTTTGACTGCCCACTATCCTTTTCAAGAATCTCTCATCTTTGATGATCAGTGAATCTGTTTCATCTTTTGTTACTTAATGATAATGCTGAGCCTCAACAACATAAGGACTTTTTCCACGTTATCCAGCGGACAACGTCTCGACAGAATTTGATTGTCTACAAAAACTTTTGGTTGTCTGCAACCTTTACAATAGAGAAAGAAAAAAAAAATCACAAGAATTTTTTTAATTTAATAATATTTCACTATATACAAAAGTTTACTAAATACCAGTGACGCGCAGTCAGGGGAGGCAGGTGAGGCATCATGACAGGTAAAATACTAACAATGATAAGAGAAAATACATTTGACCACTTCACTGTTCTATAAAAGTGTTTTATAAAACTGTTTTCCAAATTATTTCAACACTTCATAGTTCAAAATCGTGGACTTTACACATTGCCTGTTCAAATAATGCGGGGTAAGGTGGTGTAGTGCTCTGATTCACCTCTGGGGGCACTGTGTCATATACAATATATGAAATAGACAGTTGGAGCATGCCCATTGCTGTCTCTCTTTATATCTCCAATATACATTTTTGATTACACATGTGCTGCACATGTTGATGTTCTACTGTCTGTCTAATATATAGAATGAATGTGTATGACATATTTCTTCTTTCTAATTGGTCATAAATGTACAGTGAAAATACGCCGAGTGAGGCAGAAAGTACCATGCTGCACTGATAGGGGGCAATGCTGCCCCATAGGGACAATGAAACGTCACCGTGTGTTCTTCTGTTATGCAGAGGGGTGGGGGTGGAAGGTCTTACCTCAAAACTAAAGGATTTTTCTAAACTCATAATTTTTCCAAACTCATTCATCTTAAAATAAAGGTAAATAATACATCCAACATTTTTCAGTCAGGTCATCTGGACAGTTTCTTTTTTTGAGACCTGACTGAAAAATGTTGGATTGTATACCTGGATTATTGAGCATGGACTTTGTTTTTTACTTATTTAAAAAGAGAGGAGCATGGAGTTGATTAAAGCATAATTAGATGCCCTTTTAAAAGATAAAAAAGGCTAAATTGCAATATAAGTTTCTATTTTGGGTTCGTATACTGTACGTGAGCATCCGATTCCAGACGAGTCTGCCTCACTTGTTACAAACCTCACCGCACTTATGCTTCCTTTATGATTGTCTATTGTTGCCTTTGTTGTTTCACTGTTGTCATCACTCTTTGTTAAATCAGGTCTCTCTTGTTCATTCAACCTTTATTTATACAGGTTAATCCCATTGAGCCTCGAGGACTCATTTACAAGAGAGACCTGATTTCAACAAAGAATGATGGAAACAATGGACAACATCAACAACAATAGACAGTTATAAAAAGGCATACAGATTGTTTTTAGTTTGTTTTTTTAACAAATAAGATGGCAAAATATGTAACAAAAACAGCTAGATTATAAGGCGAATGTAGAAAACTAAAAACAGGAACATGTCTGCGTTGGTCCTTGCCAGGAGTCCAACAGATTTTTAAAGCCACTTGGAGAGGTCAAGGTCGAGAGCTTCAGGTCTCTCTTGTAAATGAGTCCCTGAGGCTCAATGGGATTAACCTCCATAAATAAAGGTTGAATGAAAATACACTCAGGGTTGAGTTTAATGTAAAAAAAAGAACACAGTTAAATGGAGACATCTATCTGTTATAATCTGGGACTTATAAATACTGTATTTGTCTTTTAGTGTTAATATGGTTTAATTATAAGATCTGACGCAGCAGACACACTGGGAGAGACACTCAGGCTGAGCGCTGTCTCTCTCTCAGACCTGGAGTTTGTTCGTGTGCAGAAGTTGCACATGTCTATACAGTGACGACAACACTCTGAACGCATTAACGTTTAATACAAAAGTTAGATTTTAGACATAAAAGTACCGGGGAGGTCTGAGGCGTGGTGTGCTAAGGGGGTGGGGTTGATAGTGTATCAGTTCTGGTTTCTCCCCAGGCTGCAGTTAATACTTAGACATTTAATAATTTATTACATGTCATCACCTTCTGTTAGGGTGGTGGGGTGTCCTCCCTGAAAAATAGTATGAGAAATGCTGATCGGTGCTCTCACCTGCAGTTTCTTTCTGTTAGGAACATGGCTCTGGACATGGAAATGGAGACATTTTGTGTTACTCTTAGCGCGGGCAGTTGTTGACCGGGGGGTTGATCATAAACATATATTCATCCTCCTAACAGGAGGATGCTTGAGAGGAGCTACGTCTGTAGCATGTTAGCTTAGCAGTAACTGTGACGCTGTAAGACGCTGCAGGTGTAAGAGACGCTGTTTGTTCAGGTGCATTAAATTTGAAATGTCTTTAAAACCCCACACCTTATTGTCCTCAAGCTTCGTGAGAAACATCATTTAGATGAGTAGTTTTGAACACAAGTAAAAAAGTCCAGTGGTGATGATTGTTATTTCTCTATAAATACAAATGGTGCCGAACTGACGCTCTGTGTTAAAGTGGATTAAAGTTAAAATTACTTTAAACCCACAGCTGAATTTACACAAACTTGGTGAGAAACGTTTTAAATGTGTGGAATTAAAGAAAATCTAGGTGAAATGTTGCTTTTTTTGTACACTAGTGAAAACCTTTTTTTTACGCGCGCGCACACACCTTCACACATCATTGTGTCCCCCCCCCACATTACGGATGCTTCTGACACCCTTGTGTTAAGCGCATACAGGCATGTTAAGCCATATGTTAGGTGTATATGTAAGGTGATGATATGTTAAGTGATATGTTCATTCATTCATTCAACCTTTATTTAGACAGATAAGTCACAATGAGCCTAGAAAACTCATTTACAAGTGAGATCTGTTTAGACAGACAAAAAGTAGTGAAACTGGACACATGTAAGAATTGGAGGCGAAAAATTCCTATCAGACTTTTTTTTCTTGCCTGAGAAGAAAAAACTATATTAAATAAATATTAACTAATATTAAAAAACACCTTGCACAAACAAGCACATAGTGACGTAGACATTCTGCAGAGGGGGACGACGAGAGCGGTGAGCATGATCATAGATGCTCTCGAGGGCACTGTAAGAGTTCTGATAAAGATGTAATAATCAGCCAGTGTCCTCCGGTGAGATCCGTAAACATTCTCGAGGTATGTCGGGGAATGGCCAAGAATAACGTCTATGAGAATCCAAGAGTCCTGAAAACGATGACACAAAGTTTATTCAGCTGGTTTCATCTGGTTATCGGTTGGAAATTCCTCAGGGAGGGGGTGGTGAGCGTCAGATCACATGTTCTCCAGGCAAATTCAGATAAGATGACCTTCAAAGCCAGCCATGGGAGCCAAATTCAGATAAACATACAGTTGTTTTGGAGACAGGCAAAACTTAATGACATCTACCTTGAGTCTGTGTTGGTCAACTCGGTTCCGAAATGTCCAAATTACATGGCCACACCGATGGAACGTGACTGAGCAAAATCCCCAAGATCTGATCCATTCTGCCCAAAGCATTTGAGTCTGGGTACTCGAGGCATGAACCAAGCCATCATAAAGGCAAGCAGCATGATCGGGTCCAAATTTTCTGCCAATGACTTCCTTGTTTGTAGATAAAATCAGCAACCAGCCAAATCCAAAAAGCAGGAACCAGTTATCATAAATCCAATTAAATATGTGTCGTTAAAATCCACAAATGGCAGCAGAGATAGACACATCATCAAGTCTTCAAGTCGATGAGATATGCAGCTGCGTGTGTGCCAACAGGGCAAATCGGCTTGCCTAAAGCCTGTCTTCTCTTTGAAGAAAATGTTGTAAATTGAGTTGAGGGACCAACTGATCAAAACAAGTCCATAATTATGGTTCGAAAGATATGCAAGAGAGGCTCAAAAGCAGTTTCACAGACAGACAGAGCAGCAAAGCAAAGCGGAGAGGGAGGGGAGACGCATCCAATCTCGGCAAGAGCAAGTGGTGAAGTGAATGTAAAGTGATATGTTAAGCCATATGTTAAGTCATATGTAAGGTGATATGTTAAGCACATACAGGCATGTTAAGTCATATGTTAGGTGCATATGTAAGGTGATGATGTGTTAAGTGATATGTTAAGTGATATGTTAAGTGATATGTTAAGTGATATGTTAAGCCACATGTAAGGTGATATGTTAAGTGATATGTTTATGTAAAGTGATATGTTAAGCCATATATTAAGCCATATGTAAGGTGATATGTTAAGTGATATGTTAAGCGTATATGTGAAGTAACATATGACTTAACATATGCACTTAACATATCACCTTACATATCACTTAACATATATCACCGTACATATGACTTAACATATGTGCTTAACATATCACCTTATAGATCACTTAACATATCACTTAACATATCAATTTATAGATCACTTAACATATCACCATATATATGCACCTAACATATAACTTAACATATGCACTTAACATATCACCGTACATATGCACCTTACATATGACTCAACATATCACTTCACATATCACTTAACATATCACCTTACATATGCACCTAACAAATAACCTTACATATAACTTAACATATGTGATAACATATCACTTAACTTATCACCTTACATATACACAGCACGCTACGGCTACATACACACTTTACATAGACACAGAAACATATTTTTGGCACTAATGGAACCTCATACATTACATTGGCTGGCTTTAAAAAGACCTCACCAAAACACATGTTTCTCCCCCTTTAATTACTAGAGATGACTGAAATCAATCGTGCTGATGGAGAACTTTAATCCAGGTCTTTTTTAATTAGTTGTCCATCGGACAACCTCAAGGCAAGATCTGGTTGTCCAAGACAAAAATATGTTGTCTTGGACAAACGGAAACCTTATATTGACCCCTGGTTTCTGCTGCCAGAAAATATCCAGTAAAAATCCACAACCAGGATGATTGTGTGACATAATATTTCCACGTCAGCTGTGAACTCCACCAAAAGGTGGCACTAAAGACAAAGAAGCTGTTTTATCACTCAGAGACAAATGAGACACAGCTGTGCTGATAAATCACTTTAGAAACAGATGGTGCATTGATGCTTTCCAGTGTGACTAAAGTCTGAAAGTATCAACCAACAACCAGCAGGAATGAGCTCCCAGTACCAGATTCCTACTCCCTGGACAGATCCCCAGTCCATCACAGAACCAACACAGAGACACACAAGACAGACAAGTATTCACACTTTCACATAAAGTTAAGTGAAGTTCTCCAGGTGACCAAACATCTGCAGCTTTAGACTGTGGGAGGAAACCATGTAAACTCCACATAAAAAGACTTGAGCTGAGTGTTGGACACTGAATCCTGCTGTGCAGATGATGCTTCCTTTGTTATCTGGATGAACTTCAAAGGCAGATGGTTGTAAAAGTGTGCAAGTTATCAGGTCAACAAACAGAAAATGTCTCTTAAAGGGATAGTCTGGTCATGTTTTCAAGTGATTTGTTTTTCAAATAATTATCACTAAAACCTTTTCAGCTGTGGCATCAGTCCAGGCTAGGCGCATGGCTAGTCAAATCCAAGCTCAATGAAAACAAAATTGTGTTTTTTGTGTTTACATGTAATTCATGCAAAAACAAATACCATAAAGTTAGCATGACTTGTTAAATGTAGTATTTTCCTGCAACAATCAAATGTTTCTTAATTTGTGTGATTCTTCAGATACACAAAGTAAAAGAGCCACATTTTCTTAATGTAATGTTTTATTTAAAAGCATAATCATAAAACTATAATATTAACAGAATAGCCCGGGCCAGAGTTCGCCTTTTTGTTCCCTGACAGAGTTCGATGGCGCGTTCACACCTCCCCATACGAGCCGGACTTTCTAGGAAAACGAGGTAGAGTTCGATTAAAGCGAACTAAACAGGGCTGGTGTGAATGCACCACAGACTGGACAAGTCAAACATTTACACTGCTGCTGTCTTTGACTCTGTGTAAATGTCTCTGAGCACGTGCACAGTATCTGTGTGACAACAGTTCACTCATCTGCACTCTGATCTGAGATTAAAGGCTAACTGACATTGAGGGAGACCAGTTTCCCTCTGTGTGTTCGTTTGATCGGACAGGTACTGCTCCGGAGACTTCACCTTAATTTAAAAGAGTTTTAATACAAACCACAGTTAAAGTATTACAAAAACAAAGTTCTGAAATGCATTTCAGGAGACAATAGAGGCATACTTCACCTGAGAAGTTGCTCAGCTCAAAATTGTCTGACACTACTTCCTGTTTTATGATAATATAAGCTCTTCATGAACCCACCTCCCTCTTGGAGGGGGTGAGCCTCTAATCAATCTAAGATTACCATGGCAACCACACCATCATATTTCTTATCTTTCAAGTAAAAACTAGTTTTAACTGGCTTTTGGTGCGATTCTCGAAGTTACTTTTGTTCTTTTTTTTTCTGTCTACAGAAAAACAAGTTAGTCGGCCCCAATAGGCTACTACATGAAAACAAGTATTCCACCACTGTGTGATAAAATATATGTGACAACAGTTTATAAAGCACACAAAAATAGATATATAATGTGAATAAAGTATAAAATATAAAACTATGTAAAAAGTGGACACACAGTGTACAGGATAAAGTGGACACACAGTGTATAAAATAAAGTGAATACCACAACCTAGTCTATTCATCACTGATAAGTTATTTTGTTTCCAGACTAAAAAGAAGTAAATCAACTCACCATGCATGATGAAGAAGAGCTGAATGCAGAGAGAAGACAGTTCAGATCCTTGTGAGGTTTTCTGTCCTCGGTGTGTGTTTCCTGTTTTTCTGCAACACTAAATAGACTGAAGAGTTTAGTTTCACTTTCAGCTTGGCTGCAGTCCAAGACCATTTCTCGTAAATCAGGGTGTGGTACAGCCGTGTCTTGATAAGATGGTCAGTTTGAAACAGTTTGAGCTGGGAGTGGAGCACTATGACATGTGTTCATGTAGTTGATATTTGGAGAGGCTGGTCCTTAAGCATGTCAGATCAGTGGTGGAACCATACCTGGACCCCCTCCAGTTCGCATACCAGCCACGCATTGGAGTTGATGACGCCATCATCTACTTGCTGCACAGAACCTATACGCACCTGGGCAGGGCAGGCAGTACTGTAAGAGTCATGTTCTTCAACGTTTCCAGTGCTTTTAATGCCGTAAGACCTGCTCTGCTCTGTAGTAAGCTCCTGGACATGCAGGCAAAAGACTCGCTGGTCACCTGGATCAGAGACTACCTCACAGGTCGACCACAGTGAGGCTGCAGAACATCACCTCAGACACCATACTGAGCAGTACAGGGGCTCCTTAGGGGACGGTCCTCTCACCTCAGACTTCAGGTACAACTCACAATCCTGCCATCTGCAGAAGTTCTGGATGACTCTGCCATTGTGAGCTGCATAACTGGTGATCAGGAAGCTGAATACAGAGGTGTGGTGGACAGAACCACCTGCAACTCAACGTTGGAAAAACTAAAGAGCTGCAGGTGGACTACAGGAAGAAGATCAGCCTCCCCAACCCTATCAACATCAAGTGTACTAAGGTAGACACTGTGAACTGCTAAAAGTACCAGGGGTCCACCTAGACAATAAACTAGACTGAACAGTTTACAAGAAAGGTCAGAATCTCCTTTTTCTGAGGAGACTCGGGTCCTTTAACATCTGCAGGACCATGCTGCAGATGTTTTACCACTCGGTGGTCTCCAGCATCTTCTTCTACGCTGTGGTGTGCTGGGGCAGCAGGGTGAAGAAAGCTGATGGCAACAGACTCCATAAACTCATCAAGAGAGCTGGTTCAGTTCTGGGAGTGGACCTGCAGTCTCTGACAGAGGTGTCTGAGGAGAAGATGCTGAGGAAACTCTGTGCTGCAGAGCTGAAGCTGTGTGTCATCCATTTGATGCCCTGCTGTACTTCTCTACAATTTAAATTTGAATACTCCAAGCTGTATGAATTGTTTATTTAAAATGTTACAGTATTTAAATTTAAATAGTTTATTTAAGGAGGGAGACTGGGAGTAACAGGTGATGAGTGAGTGTGATTACAGCCTGGTACATGTCATGACAAAATTTACTGAACTTGGACTACTGTATCCCTACTTCACGGTTTTTCATGTATTGCGGGTGGGCATGGTGCCCAACACCCGCGATAAACAAGGGAATACTATATATATAAATGTGTATGTATGTGTAATTTTATTTACAGGATCCTGACAAAACCAACAGCCACTAAGATGAGCATTGGCTAAACATTTTCTCAAACAGAGGTATTTTAGCTACACTGAAAAATAACAGTAAACCGAAAGTGTAATTTCTATTTTTTTTTCATTAAAGCTTTGTAAAAAAAAAAAAAAGATTTCTGCCCAGCCATGTAGACCATTTCTTGTCATTGTTATTCGCCATAGATATTTAGCCAAATAGATTTATTCATCTTTTTTCTTTGTTGGAAATACATATTTTAATAGCTCAATTGCTTTCATGCAGCCTTATACACAACATCAGCAGTTTTTTCTGCAGCTTCCTGGGGTGTTTCTGAGTTACTGCCAATGGCAGCGCCTACAACTCCCCCAGCTGCCCCTCCAATGCCTAAACCAGCCACTATGGCCATTTTGCTTGCTAGTACAAGTTTTACAGCAATTCTACCAAAGAGTGCTCCCAACAAAACTCCCACTGTGGCACCAGCTAAAATTTTCCAAATCTTCCCAGATTTATCTTTTTCTGCTGTTTTAAGGAACTCGTTGCTATAGACACCTTGTTCCCTTTTCATTGTTTCTACTGTGTTGAGAAGCTGAGTCACCTGAAACTTGTTGTTCCTATAATCATCCTGTTGGTCGTTGTTCCAGTATTTATTATCAACAACATGGCACCTACCACCACATTTCTTCACCAAGTCACTCAGACCCTCATGCTCACGAACAAACTCCTCAATTTTCTCTCCTTCAGAGAGTTGGTCACCATGTGTGAACACAACCACAGCATGTTTCAGAGCTTCCTCTGAGAAATACTCCAGTATTTTGTTGATAACATCACACTCATGCTTTGTGTATCTGTCCACTCTAAACACAATGAGAAAAGCATGACACCCTGGAAGAAACTCTTTGATACACTTTAAGATCTCAGGCTTCAGCTTCTCTTCATCCATGTTTGTATCAAAGAAACCAGGAGTGTCGATCACTTTGGTACATATTCCATTGATGATTTTAGATTCTGCCTGACATTCACTTGTCTCAGATTTTGGAGAATTTTTAGTTTTCAGTAGACTGCCTCCCAGTATGGTGTTTCCAAGATGGCTTTTTCCAAGGCCTGTTTTTCCCAGCAGGACAATCCTTGTTTCCTTGGAGCCTTAATGAAAGAACAGATTGGTTTACCTGTACAGTATATCTATATTCCAAATGCAACTGCAACCAGACGTTTACATACACTGTATAATTTAATAAAAACTATTGTTTTCACTGTCTGACAATAAATTAAAGTAAAAGAAAAAAGCTGTTCTTGGTCAACTAGGATTCCCAAAATTATTTCTGTGAGAGATAGTTTTTTAAAAATAATTTTTTATCATATTTAATTTATTTTCTTCAAAGTCACAAGTTTACAGACATTTTGATATTATTTGGTCACTTTCCCTTTAAATTGAATGACATGGGTAAAATGTATTGGGTTTCCTTCCACAAGCTTCTGACAATAGTTTGCTGGAATTTTGTTCCAATTCTCCTGACAGAACTGGTGGAACTATGGTAAGTCAAAAAAGTTCAACGTGGTCCTCTGGACATTCAAAAAACAAGAAAACAAAAAACACAACAAAAAACAAAGCAAAAAAATGTACAAACTTTTCGTCTCTCATCCGAGAGACTTCCTCAGTCTGAGGTGCTGTATTCAGCTCAGTCTCTTAAATAGCACCTTCTCAGAGTGGATCAACCAGTTTTGCTGCTGACAACCAAAACCAGCTGCTCACATGGTTGTGAAAAAAGCTGAAAAGAGCCATGAACCAACCGGTTTACGGCTGAACAGTATGAACAGATTAATAATAACAGGAGAGCTGATTATTAATCAAATGAACTGATTGGTAACAATAGTCATGAACTGATTAGTAACAACAGAACCAAAATAACAGTCACAACTTGTGACTGATAACAACATCTCACACTATAATGCATGCGGACAGACGTGAGTAAAACGGAGTTCCATGAAACAACAGTATTCATTCTGTAAACACTAAGGACAGAATGTGTCATGGAACGAGCCGTCACATCACGTAGATAAAAGTGAATAAATGAGCAGGGTGTTGACCACGCGGCCGCAGTGCAAAAAGTCCTGCATTGTCATACCATCATGCAAGGCAGTCGAAGATGCGATACCACTGATCGAGTGTGCTCTGAGGTTGACAGGAGACTCTAAATCTGATGCTCTGTAAGCTTCAGAAATGGCCTCACACAGCCAGTGTGACAAGTGCTGGGGGGACAACGGTCGACCTGCAGATGCATCTCTATAATGCACAAACAAATGTTGAGTTTGACGCATTGCAGCTGTGCGCACTATGTAACACGTCAACGCCTACACCGGACAGAGAAGATGGAAAGACGATACTTCTTCTGATCTGTGTGTGTGGGAGAGGGGGGGGGGGGGGAGGGGGGGACCCCTCCAATGATATCGCTTTTGATTTAAAAGAGCTTGTGATGTTTTAGGCATAAAAGAGCTGCTGTCAGCCTGAATTCTGAGACATGACGGAGCGACAGAGAGGGCAGATATTTTCACTCACTCTCTTAGCGGATGTTAAAGCCAGCAGCAGGGCTGTTTTAAGAGACAAGAATTTAAGTGGAACCTGATCCAGAGGATCAAATGGAGCTTTGATCAGGGCTCACATGACCAGCGTTAAATCCCACTGTGGAACAAGTGGGTATGAAACAGGCCTGCGTCTCTGTACACCTTTTAGAAAACGCTTCATCAGCGGATGATTAAAAGCTGTTCTGTCTCCGAACCCTTCGTGGCAGGAAGAGATGACTGCAGCGTACGTTTTAATCGTGCTGAACGCCAAGTTCCTGTCCATCAGCTGTTGTAGAAAGGACATCATGCCACCTAGTGGACATGAGGTGGCCTCTACACCCTTCTCTGTACACCAGCGCTGAAAAGCTTTCCGCTTTGATGTGTACAGCGCTGTAGTAGATGCAGCACGTGAATCCTGGATTGTGTGCACTACATCCTGTGGGAGACCCATCCTCTCTAAGCGGATCCGCTCAGCGGCCAGACCCACAGGTGCTGGCCTATTTCTGG